GAGACAAAGAGGAGCAGGAGGGCGAGGAAAGAAGGAAAGATGGGGGGAAGGAGGGGAAGGGGGGCTGGGAGGAGAAGGCAGAAGGAGAAGAGAGCGGACGGAGGTGGGGGGAGAAGAAAAGGGAAGACGGGGGACAGAAAAGAGGAAGTTCAGGGGAGAAGGAAGGTGATGGAAGGGGAAGGAAGGAAAGAAGAAAAGGAAGGAAGAAGAGATTGAAAGGAGGGGGAGGGAGGGGAAAAAAAAGAAAAACGGGGAAGAATAGGGGAGACACTTGGCACCCCAGAGGTATTAGAGCCCAGTAAGATTCAGGAAAGAGCAAGAGTTCACTCTCATACAGGGAAAGGGCTCCAAGCCCCGCCAAGTCAGCAGCCTTAATCACACCCGGGGCTTTGCCTAATTACAGGGTGAAAGCCAGGTCTAGAGGTAGGGAGATACTTAACTGTGTCCCAGGGAAGGCCGAGGGCAGGACCGGCTGTGAGGCTCTCTCCTCCACCCATGCCAACCCCTCAGAGCCCGGATCCAGGAGGAAAGGGCTGGGGGGGCCCTAAGAGCAGTGTTACACGTTCCCTTGGGTGGGAGCCCAGGCTAACAGGGCCACCCTCCAGCCTTCCTGAGTCCCCTCCCTGGAGGGCTGGGACCCTCTGCACCCAAAGAGGTGATTCAATCCCAGTCCCCTGCTAATGAGTAAAAAAAATAAGTTCTCTTTTATTTCATTTGCTGGTTTTTGGTGCATTACATTTTCCACAGATTTGCAGAGAAGAAACCAGCCAATAAACGTGGACAAAAGTGACCGCATCCCAGAGGGCAGAGAATGGGGGGGAAAAGCAAGATAAAAGTGACAGCCGATCCCAGATTCCCAGGCAGAGGACCGAGCAGGGGCTGCTGGAGGAATCTCAATGGGCCATCACCCTTCTTAGCCTGCCTCCCATTAGTACCAACTCACTCAAGACAATAGCAAAAGCACTAAAAGTGGTTTTCTTATGCTAATGTTGAAACCCGGCACTCAGTTAAAACACACTTCCCAGAAACCTGCCTCCTTAAAACACACATGTGAAACGCACACCAAAGAAAAACAACCCCACATTAATTCCTTCTATTTAAACCCAAGTCTCAAAAAACATTTTAATGGGTACTGTCCGCTCACATCTTAAGAGAGTTATTTCCCGGCACATGTATGTGATTTAAGAAGCCAGGGGGGAAAAGCTAAGAAGAAACATTACGACTCCTCCAGTTGTTGGAAGAATCTGGACAATAAGCCACACAAGCCTGGACTGTCACCTCCCCTGTGTTTTCCCAGGATTTCAAATACTTAGGTGACTTAGTGACACTTTCGTCGTCGTCCTCAAAAAATCTAAAATGACCAAAGTTCTCATTTTCCAAGTCATTTGTATTTTCCACAAGCCCTGGAATTCCGGGGGCGGGGGCGGGGGGCCGTAATGATTAGTACTGAATGTGGCGGTGTGTTTATTTGGAAGCCAGGAGAGCATCTAGAGGGTGACCTTCTAGGGTCCTGTCTGTCAGACGCCAGTGCTGCCTGCCGGCCTGGTCCCATACCTGCCATTAGCAAACGGTTCCAGAGTACTCGTTCCCTTCCCCCAAGTTCTTTAAAAGTGAGAGCAAGTTGTGTGCACTGAATCTGGGTAGTCAGGCCGTAGGTCCTGTCATGAAGTCGGCCTCTCTGGGTGCTCTAGAATCCGAGAGTACGGTCTCTCTCTAGTTGGCATTCTTCACGTGTCCATGGCTCTGACGCTTTGGTGAAAAGAAAGGAGAGAAGGGCTTCCCTGGGGTTCCCTTTCAAAGGGCCCCGGCCCAGCTGCTGCAGCTGTCCACAGTGAGGTCCACCTCGCCTGGGGCCCCTGACGGGCCGGCGAACAGGCACTGCACAGGTAGACCTCCCACCCCCAGCCTACAGACGCAGGGCAGCTTGGCCCCACCTTGATCCTTGCGGTTTGTACCAGAAAAGGCCAGCTGCACCCACAAGGGTTTGGGACTCTGTTTTTTCCTGAGCTTTAACAAGGCAGCTGGGTGTGAGGGGTCACAGCAGCTTTCACAGTGCATACAACCACCTCACGGTCTCATTGAAAGGGGATGGCTAGTGTCTGGGCACTGAAGTTTTCCGGGAGGAGGTGCTGGTGGAAGAAGGGTACTTAGTGTAGGCAAATATCCAATTTTGTCTGCCTGCTTGCTGACTGTCCCGGATCCACTAATCCAGCCCCAGGGGCTGCACTGTGTACAGGGCTCTTGTAGGAGTACAAAAACGAGTGAAGTATTTGTGTATTCTTCAGTCTGCAGAGCAAACAAGGCAGCCGCACACACAGCCCCTGAGACCCCCACAGCAGCTAGGAAACGAGCCTGTGATCAGCAACCCCACGGGCCCCTCTTACGACTGAGCACTTCAAAAGGGCAGCCCTCTCAGGGCTCAATGCTCAGTGTGCTCCCAAGGCCAGAAGGCCAGAGGAACATCTTGAGAAAGTGGAGCATCATGGCGAACGCCGTACGAACTTAAAGGTGGTCCTACTTCCAAGGCCTGGTTTGAGTTTGGGAGGAGACCTCAGTGAGTCTGAATTCTGTTCAAATTCCCACCGCATCAGTTCCCACTTAGGAGGGAACTGAAACGGATTTATCGATATGGCAGTCCCACTAGTTCATGGATGAGCCCAGCCCTGGGTCGAGAGGGGTTTGCTCCCTGTCAACCGCACTCTCAGACATAGGACTAAGGCAAGAGCGGATCTCCTACACAGGAGACCTTCTTGTGTGTTACTTTAAGCCCCCTACAATCAGGAAACACCTCATGGCATTTGGGGGGGAGGACATACAAAACCACTCTAAATCTTCCTAAATATAATTAACTTAAAAATTCACCAGCAGAGACAGTTTTCCACAGGGCAGCATCTGAATAGAAATTGTATCCGGAAGAGGCCGGTTCCAACTCATGGAACCCTCCAGAGAGAAGCAGCAAGTTCCAGAAAGCGAAAGCAAGATGAAGAGCTTTCAAGAAGGGAGGGAAGCCTTTGGCAGGAGGGGTCTGCATGGCCTGGATTAGCCATTCTGGGATTAGCGCCCCAGGATAGAACAGAAGCTGGGAGAAAGCAAGAGCCACCAAACTCAAAGCAAACAAGCAGCAGAATGTCTGCCCCATGTTAGGGAGGCCAATCCAGGTAGGAACACAATGTATTCCCTCCTCCGCTCCAGACCGACCGAGCTCTTTCAGGGGCCGCTCCCAGGCCGGGCGGGGCTAGTCCCTAGACACACGGAAGCCTTCTCAACAGGGGAAACCGCAGCCAAGGTGAGGAAATGGGCGGGGAGGGGGCTCGAAGGAGAGGTGGCTAGAACAAACAGATAGCATCAGAGAGACTTGTGACAAGCCCGCCTATTCCGCCCGCTATCCCCCCGTGCTGTATATTTTGGATTTCACAGTTTATTTACTTTACTTTTTTGGCACCGAGCCCCCGGAGCATGCCAATACAATATTTGTTTAAACACTATTTTATGCCGCTTGCGAGGGAAACGTTTACTTTCAAATTCTCCAACATCCCCCAGAGCCTCGTCTGCAAACAGCATTTGAGCATTTTACAACTGTTCTCTTTATCTGAAGCTGTGAGGATTAAACCTTCACACACCCAGCGAGGGCGGAGAGGCAGGGGGCCGGGACATCGTGCGGCCACCGAACTGCAAAGCTCTCCCCAAGATGAAGGATGCCCTAACTGGGGAACAGAGGGGTATAGAACCCACCCCCTCCTAGCCTCTGAAGGATCAGACTACCAAGAAAAGTCTTTCCTAACCCTGCTCCAACTGGGATCAGCCCTAGGAACCACAGGACAGTTACACAAAAGAGAGAGCCAGGATGGAGAGGCGCCCTGGGAGACCCCCACAACCTCGATGCGCCTCTGTGGCCGGGTCACTCGAGGTGAGGCCCAGAGACTCCATCCTCAGCTTCCCCAAGCTCTAAAAGTCACGTTTCCTAGGAAGTGAGAGCAATTACTGCCAGGCTGAAAAGAAGCCGAGTTGAGTGGACTTTCAGCTCCCAGCGCGGCCGGAGTCCTCTCGAACTCACTCAACCACACGGTCCCTTCCCCCTATCCCGGGGAGGAAAAAAAAAAACAAAAACGCTCCCCTCTCTCTAAACCCTTAATAGGATTGGCGCCCAACTCTGTCCGCGCCGCTCCTCATCCATCACACACAGATCAAGTTGCAGTAGTGGATTTTTCAAATTCCTCAGCAAATATACTTGTTGAGAGATTGCTTGGGGGTGTGCTACGTGGGGGCGAGGATGAAAGTGAGGAGCAGGGGGAACCGATCCCTCGGCAAAGGATTACGCGTGGATCTACTCGGGAAGTCAAGAGGATCTGGGGACCTAGGGTAGGCGAGGAAAGTAAGGAAGCCAGAACTAAGGCCCAGAGTAGAGACTGGCGGCGGGGGGAAGGGGCAACAGACTCAAAGAGGGGGAGAAGGAGAGAGAAAGAAAGAAAAGACTGAGCTCCAGGACGCGGACTAGCAGCGTGGCGAAGTGGAGTTGCAAATTCCCAAGTGGCGGGCGGCGGCGGCAGCACACCGCACACTCCCGCAGGCGCGCTCCCAGCTGCCCATCTAAGGGAGCTTCTGAGCATCCCAACCCCCACGCCGCCCCCAAACAGTTCCAGGCTGAGTGCCGTGCCACCGGTCAAAGAACGGCCTACCCGAGCAACCCAAGAAGAGCAAGAGGCACTTTCCCCTCAGGTGGAGGACAACAGTATAAAATCGACCCCCGGCCACGAGTTCTGAGCCCCAAGATCCTCCTTAAGCCCTGCCGCTGCTGGACCAGAGCAACAATCACGGTTGTCCTCTCTGCCCCCCATAAAATCGGTGTCACGATCTCGACTCTGGTAACCGGCCGAGAGACACTCCGAAGACCTCACAGCATCTCAGCCGAGGTTGGCCGGGCTAGGAAGTGCTTCGCCACCACGAGCAAGAAATTTAAAAAAAAAAAAATGAGGGTGGGGGAAAGGCCAATGCAACTTTACCGAGGAGACAAAAGTTTGCCTCTAGCACGCAGGTGGCCTCTCGGGCGCCGGGCAGTGGTTGCAGGGCCCCATCCCAACTTGGCTGGCGCGGGGCTGCTGAGTGCCGGGGCTCAGGCCGCCGGGGCGGGGCTGAGCAGGCAGAGGAGGGTACCAAGGCGGGCGGGGGACCCCGGCAGTCCCTAAGGACGCGGAGCCAGCAGCTCTGGGCGGCTGCGATGCGACGCGCGGCCCACGCTCCTTCCCCTGGCTCCTCCTCGCCTTCCTCCGCGTCCTCTGTAGCCGCCGCCGCCTCCCGCTCCTGCTAGAAGTCTCATTGATGAGAGGAGTTTGAAAAAAAGTCCGCGGAGCCGTGCTGCCTCGGCTGGCGAACGCCGGCACTCCTGCAATCCATCAGCGTCTCCGGGATGGCGCAGCGCCCCCGCGCGCTGAGCTTGGGCACACCCCGGTCGTCGCGTCCCCAGCCTACCCGCCCCCGCCGCGTGCACCCCGCCCCTGGGTTTAGGGGGGGGGGGGGACAGACACCACCCTGGAGGGAATAGCCCCGAGTGATCACAGACTCCTCCACCTCAGCTCTGAGTAAAGAAAGCACCCCTCCTGGAAAGTTCCATCAGGGGACCAGAGAACGCTGGGAGTTGGGGACGGGAGCAGGGGTGCGGGAAGGGGTGGGGGTGGGAGGGCAGACACCGAACGACCCAGACTCCACTCTTGAGGAGAGTAGCTGGGAATATCGCAGATTCCTCCACCCCAGTTCGGGAGAAATAAAGCACCCCGACTGGAAAGTTCCAGCTAGGGGACCAGAGCACACGCCAGTCTCCAACACTTTTTCCAAGGCGCCGGGGTGGGGGGTTGCTAACTCAAGTCAGATGAGCTCCGGGGCTCAGGCGCTGCCACGGCTGGTTTCAATATCGGAACTCCCCCTTCCCTCCCACCCCCTCAGCCCTCCGCTGGTTGTTCCCAAAACTCCCGGCTCCTCCGAGAGCAGTGGCAGCAGGAAGACACGTGGATGGGAAGCAGGACTGGATCCACGCGGGCCCTCTTTGCTCGGGAAGCTAGTGCAGGTGCCCGGGGTCCCAGGCGCCCCTCGTTGCGCCTCGCTCACGCCGCCATCTGAGAGCACGTTGGCAAGAAGTGACGCAAGCTTCAGGCTTGCTGCATATGTCGTATAGCGAGAGGGTTTTGTTTTATTTTTTCGGAGACTCTGCTGGAGCTGCTGCAGCCAGATGGAAGTAATCAGAACTCAACAACAGAGGGAGACGGGAGAAATAGGCTCACTGAAGTTGCAGGCCAAAGTGTAGATGAGGCTCTGCATGAAAGCATTTGCTTAAGTAGCCCTGGGCCTTCCATACAGTCCAGAACTGTCCACTCCAATAAGCAAGTGGGCAGCTAATGCTTGTGCCCTTCCAACCCATGGGGCTCGGCTTCCTCTCTGGGGCTCTGGGCTGCTCCTAGAAAGCAGCCTGCGGGTCTTAATTATATCTCTTCCTTATGTTTGTGTTCTAGTTCCTCTGTATTATTTAACCTCTGCCATAGATAGGGTCTCCTTCCCTTTTTAAAGGTGGGAAGGCTGGTACCTGAGGACGCCACAAAACTTGGCCACAGGTCCAAGCCCCGAGTCACTAATGTAAGGTTAGTACAGATGTGCCTTGATGGGGGTGTTGTAGCATCTCCTTCCAGCCCCTCTTCCTGTCTGGAATGCCAGGCGACTAAGACTCCAGGCCGATTCCACCCTGCCTAGCTGGGTCCTTCACACCCAGTTTTACTCACCGAATCCCTTTTGGCGGATGGCACAATTTATGCCTTGGGTTCTCCCCTAGCTTTATCTATTTCTTTGTTTCTGAAAGTCAGTATTTACTGACTTTCTGGGATAGAACCCAAGGCCACCCAAATGCTACGTATACTCTCCCTCCAAGGTCTACCTCCAAACCCCTGAATTTTACATTTTTTTATATTTTAAACTTCTATCACATTTATTTATTTTGTGAGGTCACAGCCCTCTGGCAGCAGAGGGCAAGGCAAAAGGGAGCTCTTTCTCTCCTTCGGTCACGTGGGTCCTGAGAATCCAGCTCAGGCTTGGCAGCAAGGACCCTTGTTGGTCTAGCCATCTCACCGGCCTAGATTTCCACTTGTTAACAAAAAGGGAAGTCTTGTGGCCCCATTCTGCCTTTCTTGTTACCTTCCGTCTTTCTCTCTCCCTCACATGAGAGAGCCAACAATTTCTTCTTGACCTAGAGAAAAAAAATGCAGGAAACACTACAACAATTTGATATAATGTCATTTTCCTCAAAGTAGGCTTCCCAGATTAGAAGCGGCAGGGGCGTGGGGGTGGGGGCCGGCAACATGCTCAAACAAAAAACCTTTGGGGCTGGTGTGGTGATGCATGCTGTTAGATGATAAAACTTTTCCTGGGGAGACGAAACACACACATCTGCTCGCTCCAGGTAGGGAGCTCATGACAAACCAAAGTATAGTAATCACCAAAGTCCAACTTGGTGAACCAATGAGTTGTATTGGGGTGACTTACAGGAAAATTGGTGAGGGGTCACTTACAGGAGCAGAAATGACTCAATGCAGATGCATCACCGAGGCCCACCCCAGCATGGCTGACAGCTCACACAGCTGGGAGCCGAGGAGCGAGGGCACACTGCACAGCCTGCAGGCAGCTCAGCAGGTTGGAGAGCGTCCTTTCCAAGTGACTCTGGTCTAAGCCTCTTCCAGGCAGCCCGGCTGGTTTCTGCTTCTTCCAGGCAGCAGGTCTGGTCGCCGAGTCTCCTTTGCAGCTCAGTTCCTCAGAGGGGCTCTCAGCTTTTATTATTTACTCTGGCAGGGAGGGTTCTAGTGAATCTGGTCAGTTCCAGGGACTTCCTGAAGCTGTTTGGAGTTATTTTCCTCCCTGCTTAAAGAGCTTCCTTTTCCATCTCGGAGGAGACCTAAATTATGCGACACATTGCCAGTTCCAGGCCAGCCAGGGTCACATAGTGAGACTCTGTCTTTAAAAAAAAGAAAGAAGCCAGGGCAGTGGTGGCGCACACCTTTAATGCCAGCACTCGGAAGGCAGAGGCAGGCGGAGCTCTGTGAGTTCAAGGCCAGCCTGGGCTACAGAGCGAGATCCAGGACAGGCACCAAAACCACAGAGAGAAACTCTGTCTTGAAAAAAACCAAAATAAATAAATAAATAAAAGAAACTTGCAGAAGTCGATGTACACAACGTAGGATGAAGGGCCATGGAGATGCAGAGGAGATGCTATGGATCTACTCTGACCTGACTGGTTCCCTGGAACTCACATAAGTGACAGAGAGAACAGGCTCTAACAGATTGTTCTATGACCTCTACATCTGATCTTTACACAGATCCATGTAAAGAAGAGAACAAAACATCGATGTCTGAAGGAGGCTTTACCCGTCAAACGTCGGAACATCAGACCGGGCACTCCTCCCAGTTGATTGTTGGTTTCCTGCTGAGCTTTCAGAACATAGACACGAAGGAGACAGCAGAAGGGAACCCTCTCCCTCGGCTGCATTTAATGACCCCATTCCTATCTGCCCTGTGAAGCCAGGACTTATTCCTCCTGGCTGGAGTATTAGCGGAGTCAGCTGATTACTTCATTACCAGCTTGTCTCTGTTGGTTTCTTTGTGTTGTAAAGTTTGTGGAGAAGTTTAAACAAATCAACATTTGGAGAGATTGCTTTTTCTCCTCAGATCGGTTCAACTCCTGCTGGAATCCAGGCATTCACAAAGCCTCTCTGGCTTATTTTGGCAAGAAGGTGGCCGTGGAGGTGAAGATGGAATGTTTGGGGTTTGAAGGGAGCTGTGTAAACATCACATCCTACTCTCTCTATTTTATCTATTTTGTATAGGTGCGTGCGTGTGTGTGTGTGTGTGTGTGTGTGTGTGTGTGTGTGTGTGTGTGTATTCACATGTGTCATAGCACAGGTGTGGAAGTCAGGGGACAATTTGTGAGAGTCTTCCTCTCTCTCTCTCTCTCTCTCTCTCTCTCTCTCTCTCTCTCTCTCTCTCTCTCTCTCTCTCTCTCTACCACATGGGTCCCGGGAGATCCAGCTCAGGTCATGTGGTTTGGTAGAGTTTACCTTTACTGGCCCCAAGACACATATATCTATCAGATGAAGATTTAACATCAGAACTGGATGCAAAATACACATTGGATTTCAGAAACTGAAACCAATAATGATAATGATGAAGTTGCTATTTTATATTAACCATGGGTTGTATGAGGGTTAAGATTGATTGTCAGCTTCAGAGGATGTAGACCCACCAAAGGGGCCTCCGGACATAGCTGTGAGGAACGATCTGGACTGGGTTTGCCTTTGGGCTCATCTGTGAGGGAGTTTCTAGATTGGGTTCATTGAGGTGGGAAGACCCAACCTAAATGCGGATGTCACTGTGAGTTGGATCCTAGACTGAACAGAAAGGAGAAAGCAGGAACTGGGCTGGGGGAGCATCAAAGGCGAGAGACACGTCCTCCTTGGCAAGCACTGACATACATGTGAAAGGCCCTGAGTCCCATCTCCAAGACCAAGAAGGAAAAGAATTAAAAAAAAAAAAAAAAAAAGCACCTGACCCCTTTCCTACTCTATCTTTACCTTAACATAACCAAACAGTTGGTCCAAGATGGTGGCTCACACTTTAATCTGATCACACACACACACACACACACACACACACACACACACACACCACCACCACCACCACCACCACCAACAACAACAACAACAACAAGCAAACAAACCAAATAGTTGATAAACATAATTTTCCCTTTATAGACCATGTACCAGCCAGTCCTGGTGGCTAAGGTTTATCATCGCAGCTCCTCAGGAAATTACAGCTAGATATCAGCAAGTTCTTGCATGGCAGGAACAGAGCCCCAGGCCTTTCACACACCAGGCAAGGGCTCTGCCACCAAGCTACACCCCAGCCTGGAGTTATTTTTTTCAGAGCTTTGATCCGAGGGAGATACTGAAATACCTAGGGATTGGCTTCTAGACTATAGGGAATTACGGTGTGGGTGGCCACAGAGGTGAAGTCAGATCAGCCAGGAGTTGGCTGTTAATACCAAGCGTGAGTTCATGGGGTTCACAATGTGTTGATTGGTTTTTGTCCACTTGACACAAACCTAGACATATCTGGGAAGAGGGTATCTCAATTAAGGAACTGCCTCCATCAGACTGGTCTGTGTGCATATCTGTAGAGCATTTTCTTGATTACTGATGGATGCAGAAGGGCTCAGCCCACGGCGGGCGGTGCCACCCCTGGGCAGGTGGTCCTGGGCTGTATAAGAACTCAGGCTGAGCAAGCCATAAAGAGCTGGTCAGTAAGCAGTGCCCTCCAGTCTCTGCTGCAGTTCCTGCCTCCAGG